GCCACTCTTCATTTTCCCTGCTGCTCCAATCCTAATCCACAGCAGCTTTTTCTACTGTGTTAGCTTCGTAGTAGGTCCCCTTCACTCACTCCTGAACCCTCTAATCCATTCCACTGTTTCACTCCAAACAGAAGCCTGACTAGACCACTCCTAGTTAGACTCTTTAATACCGTCACATTGAGTTAGCACCATTTCCCCAAATCGTCTTCCTGACTTCCGAGTGCTACCTCTGCTCCGCCTCTGCTCGTCTCTCCAGCTGCCTGAAGCCCAGTCACAGGTCCCCTTCGTGCAGCGCCCTCAAGTCTCCCTGCACCTCTTTCCTCAAAGCTTCTCCTCATGCCAACCTAATTTTCTCTTTTCTATTTCTTCTCAAATTAAACATTCTTTCTCAGAGAAGCATTTCCTAAATGATTCCCTAACTTCAAACACCAGGCTAAACTGCCTTTAGGGCTTCCCTGGGGGTCCAGTGGTCAAGAGTCCGCCTTGCAATGCAAGAGACACCGGTTCAACTCCTGGTCCGAGACGGTCCCACCTGCGTCAGGGCAGTTGCGCCACAGCTAGCGAGCCCGCACTCGGGCTCCCGTGAGCTGCAACTAGCGAGCCCCTGCGTCACAACTGCCGAAGCCTGAAGACCCTAGATCCGGCGCTCCACAGGGAGGCGACCACGGGAGAAGCCTGCACACTGCACCAGAGAAAGTCCGGAGGCAGCAACGAAAGCCCAGCACAGCCAAAATAAACAAATATTTAAAAAAAAAAAAAAGCTGCCTTTAAATTTGATCCACTGCACTGGGATTCTGGATTGAATTCAAAAAAGTTAAAATTATATAATTGTGCAGTTAATTTATTAATAGCTCTTCCCAGATCCTATTATGGGAAACCACTTTATTTACCATTTTATCCCCAGACGTTAGTATAGTGTTATTCATAGAAATTCAAATTGTGTTTAACAAATGAACATATAGAATGATAGAAGAGTTTTTGAAATTATAAATAGAGATGTTTTATTCTTTAAAACTGTATATATATATATATATATATGTATGACTATATATATATGTGTACATGTATACATATACACAATTTATTCTATGTTGGTAGCAGATTGAATTCTGAAGGTATAAATTGTTTTTTTTTAATTTCTTTTCCACTTTTAGTACCCTGTCTTCCCAAACCATGGTTATTCTAGACTTCACTTCTTTATATAGCATCCTCTTGGCTCTCTCCCTACCAGTCCCCATCAGAATTTTATCTTACCGGGTCACCCTCAACTTGTCTTTTAACTTTCAACTTATTTGATATTTGTTGCTTTCTTACCTAGTTTCCAGGTCTTTATTACCCCTATACCATATTCCCATAACACCTCACAGACATTTATCTTATAATTGCATTTTTTAATTAATACTATCTGCTTTTATGTACCCCGCATACCAAGCAGTAGAATATGAGCTTCCTGAATGTGAGCAAAACTACATATAACATTTGACTTTATTTGTTTAGGAAATAACAGTGTCCAAATGATTGTTAGATGAGTGAAATAATTTTTTAATACTTTTTAATTTTAAAATATATTTTTAATTTTTTAATATTACTACTATTTCTTCAATTTTAAGAGGGGATCATATTAAGTAATTAGTTATATCTATTTTTATTTTCTTTAAATATGGTTTTCACATTTTTATTTTAAACATTTTTTTATAACTTATCTATAGTTTGTTTGTTTTTCTGTTGCAGCTTTCTTGTTGATGAACTTTGAGTTCCAGACTTCTTTTGTAGAATTGATTTGATTTATTCTTCATAAATAAATACTTCTTGAATGCTAAAACATAATAACTATTTTTAAGATAAATTACTGATGATTTTTGTATTTAACTCACCATTTACAACAACACATTATCTGTCACTGACACATACATTGGCAACATCATTATCTTTTATGTTGAAAACAGTTATATTTTGACTTGTCGTCTATATTTTCAGCTTTTTCATTACTGTATTTTAAAAAAATTTAAATTTTATGTTAGGAGTTAAATAGGCCTTCTTTTTTATCTTATCATGTCCTACCCCAATATTGCAATAATTAATACTGAAAACAACATTTGTACAACTACCCAGAGCAAGAAAAATAAATTGAATTGCAATATGAAAATACCTATTATTTTCTTCTGTTTGTTAAGTAATTTTTCTTTTTATAATGTTCCCTGATAGCTGTAATGAAAGTCAGTAGTTGCATCTTTAGTTTTGAAGATAATGTGTTAAAGAAAGTCTATTACTTATTCTAGTAGATGCCAGCCTTTTTCCAAAAGGGCTCATTTAATTGAATCACAAGACTCCAGAGGTCCATATGCCTTGACATTTTCTCATAGAAAAAGTACTATGGAAAAAAAAAGAAAAAGTACTATGTGGTAATAAAGACATAGAAGAAAACAATAGAATAATAATAATAGTAACAATGGTAATAAAACAATTACACAAGAGCACAATGCTTAACAAAGTAAAACAATAGTAATTTCACAGATATGTTCATTTTTATGAGAATAGCATAGGTGGAACACGATAGCAAATGCAAGACTCTGTGCATGGTGCGCTGATTAAAAGAATATTCCTTTGGAATATTATAGGAACTCCAGCTATCTGGATACTTGTGTGTGCAGGGGTTTTGTAACATTGCTAAGCAATTGTATCAGGTGTTCAGACTTAATTGATGGAATGCTGAATCTGAACACTTTGTGAATACTAGCATTTCACCAATTTAATTAATGAATACTGAATTTTATAAATCATTAAGTGAGTTAATAGATTACCAGTAAATAGCTCTAAATTGTATATAGTGATTAAATATATGGATTATACTCACATTTATGTCACTTTGTGAGCACTTCAGAGTGCTTTCAGGATCCATCAATGGGTCATGAATGCTACTTTGATCTACACTGACTTTGTTACACATTTATCCTTGAACCTTATAATGTATTCCATTTGGTCTTACACGTATCTTAGTTTTTCAGGCCCTGATGATATTTTACAAATTCAATAAACTTGGTGTGGATGTTTTTCTCTTTTTTCATTTTAAAGGTTTTTAAAAAGTACCAATTAAGCATATAATACTTTAATATATTCTTCTTACAATATATTTTCTTGTAAAATTTAAGCATTGAACAAAATAATTCTTTCAATTTCCATCTTTCAATTTTGTCCTATGTGTTTAAACATATGCACATATATATATAAACACATAAAATATCTACATATAATATTTATTTTTCATAGCACATTTATATTCCAAGTAGTATTCATATTTCACAAATACCATGCCTATATATATTAGTATATTTATGATTCTTATACTTGCATTTATTTTAAGTCAATATTGCATGTTGAAGATTGATGTTAACAATATTTTTCTCTTTATTACAAAGCTGTTGTATAGTATTCCATAATTTTTATATATATGTCCAGTTTTGCACAGACATAACCCATTTTGTTTTCTATTATAAGCAAGCTGGAATGAATATCCTTGAACATTTCCCTTTCATAACAATGAGATTATTTTTTTATGGCTGATAGTGATAAGAAAAATCTGTCTTATACAGTCTGCACATTTCAGAGTTTAATAGACACTATAATTTACATAGGAAGTATACAAATATACACATCCAGTAGTAGTTTATAATTGTCATATACATTTATACAAATCTTTGCCAACACTTGGTTACTAAACTTTTTTTGCATATTTGAATTAGGATTTTCTATAAAGTTAAGAATGTGATTGTTAACAATTTAGGTATTCCAATTGCTCCAATTTATTCATTTATTTCTTTAACATTTAGTCCTGCTACAAACATATTAAGTATCCCTGCATAAATAGTGGTAACCAGTTTGACTGAGTTTTTTATTGTACCCCTTACAACTTTCTGAATATCGATTAGGAAGATGGCCTTACAACGAGAGGCCCGTTCTGTTTGTGATCCTGAATTCTGTATCAGACTGTTAAAAACAGAAAAGGAGAAGAAAAGAAAATGTTCTAAATAATGACACTTTTGTATAAGTAATAATAGGCAGACTAAAATTAGGAAAGATATATGCCAAACCATTAACAATCTCTAGAAAGTGGGAATGTATAGGGTCAAAAGAAGAGACACTCATTATTTTTGCATTGCCCACCTATATCTATATTGCATAAATGTGTTATAATTGTACTTTAGTTTAATTTTAAAAAAGATAAAGGACATGATAACTTGGAAAATTACACTTATTTACCTTTTTTTTTTAAAGTTTTACAGGCCTTCCATTCAAATTGATATATATTCCTATCTTCTTATTACCCAGAGCTGTCAAATTTGTTCAAGTGATCTTAGGATATAAGTTTTATCTCTTTTAACATCTTTGGATTGTTGACAATTTGAACGATTCTTATAGAATATACTTAAAAAATCAGCACGTAGTTTTAGAGAAGGAAAGTGCTAGAAGCTAAGCAATAGTTTGCTACCAAGAACATGGGGGGGTGAAATCTCTTACTTAGTAAGAAAATGAAGACCATTTTAAAAAGCAGAGTTTTTATTTGGAATTACATTTTCTCAGAGTTCAGCAGACTGAGTATTCGTTGTGAACTAAGTGTTAAAGTAGGCATAATGGAAAATTTGTATTGTTCTCTGAGAACACAGTTGTTCACAACACAAACTCATCAGTGTTCAATTTAGAAATGCATTAGAGAAAAATCACTGGGCAAACCTTAGACTTAACCCTTCAGATGGGTAAAGTGAGAATCATTTCTAGAAGTTAAGAATCCTCAAGAGGAGTTTCCTAAAAGCATGGCTTTCAAGTTAGTTATTAAAGAAAATAATGGATTAGCAGGAAAACTCAGGGAATGTGTACCAAATAAAGAGGGAGTTTAATAACTTACTCACCTCAATGATTATAACATATGCAAAGACAATTGTCCAAAGAAGCCAATAAAATTACTTAAGATCTCTTTCCTTTTTGTTCTGTTTTCAAAATTGTAGTTGAAATCTGGAGAGACAGCTGCCAACATTGCTAGAGAACTGGCTGAACAGACAAGAAATCATTTGAATGCTGGAGATATCACTTATTCTGTCCGGGCCATGGATCAGCTGGTAGGCCTCCTAGATGTACAGCTCCGGAACTTGACTCCAGGTGGAAAAGATAGTGCTGCCCGAAGTTTGAACAAGGTAAGGACCTTAATTACATGCATCTTCAGAGTTGTAGTAAAAGCACTGAGACTTCCCTGATTAATCTCTCTCTTTCCATAAAATCAGATCATTCTAAAGAAAATTGCTAGCTACATTCAATTCACTTCAATGTCTTGTTATAATAATGACCTTATTTGACTTTCAATCTAGGGAACAATAAATGATCATCTCTTTGCATATGTTTTGAATTATAATTCTGTTTTCTGTAGAATTCTTTGTGGATGCTAAATTCTGACATGGTTAATATAGATAAATGCCACTTCTTTTGTTTCTTTTTTCCCCTTTCAAGCCTTTATGTTAATATGATTAATAGTAAAACAAATGTCTAATCGATAAAGAGAAATTTAGAAAATGACAATGAGAAAGGATATTAATAATACATTATAGATTTTTTAAAAAAATAATTTAACCTAATTCTTATTACATTTAAAAGCTCATTGGACAAAGTATTTGTTTTAATTTTCCTTTTGATTTTTAAGTAACTTATTTTGCATCACTACCATTATAAGCTAATAGGTTTTAATGTATTTCAGCAACTTTGAATTGTAAGTAATAAAAATATTTTTAAATTTTAAGGGATTTTATGTGTTTTATAGTTATAAATCTACAATATATTTTATATACATTATATACACATATGTAAACATTATGTATATAACTTATACAGATATAAGTGTTGTATTTACTTAAGTGTATAAAATATGTTTTATATATTTATAAGGAGTATCATTTATGTAACACAATTTCACATTGTGAAAAGATAATAGAATCGCTGCCATTAGATAACATATATTCTCTTAATGGCATTTTTGTAGAAAAGATGATCAGTTATTGAAACTGGATTTTAAGGCCTTAAATATCAGGGATAATCTTAATATCAGGGATACGTCAAACAGCAAGAATTTGGCAGCAACAGACTAATATAATGTATGGAATTCACTGAATGAATATTTCCCCTTTAGAATGAAAAATAACTTTACAGAGTGGTCTTTGTTATGTTTATTTCTTTTCCGTCTTATTTGACTAAGTGTCTCATGAGATCGAAGACACTTTTTAAATAATGATTCTTTGACATTAAAGAAAAAAAAAGCTGGATATTTTATCTAGCAGTTTTTTCTGCAACTTCATCCTCAGAAAATAGATTCAGTTCTATCAGTTAGATAGAATTTATTACCAAGGGGTTTTTTTGTTGTTGTTATTTTCATGCTGAGTGAAAAGGAGTTATTTTTGTCACTCATATCCATGATAGCATCTCAGCCCAGCCCCTGACAGAATATAATCCACAGCTGTCTATGTAATCTGGGCATGCTGTGATTTTACCAAGGCTTACTGGATGCTGTTAATGAATATCGCTGCCAGCTATTGTTATTATAATGTACTAGAAATAGTCATTTCTGTTAATGCTACATATCCATAACACTACTTGTTATAGAATATTTTGTATCTTTATTTAAAAATGATGTTGATGTCTGGCAATATCAGGTAAAGCTGGCAATTAATGTCACATTCTAACAGGCTACAGCTAATCAGCTTGCCTAGTCTGAATATCAAGTAACTACATAATGGGCAAATTTCCACTTGTGATGCTTTTTAATGCTCTCTTTTGTTTCTTATTTGGCTCTTTTTGGTTGTTTATGTAATGTGGCTTGTCACGTGTTAATTCGCATGACGGGGTAAAGAGATGGGGTGGCAGAGGTTATTCACATGCTTCCCGGCTCCTGTTTCCTGTGGCTCCCACTGTTCCCTGAAACAGTTGTAACCCAACAGATTTGCAAAGTCAACTCGGTGCAAATCAATTGTGCTCCACATTGAAATTCTGGAGGGTTTAGAGACCTTTTAAACCAAGATGCGAGTCAGTGATCCAATGACAACACTGGCAGTTTACTTGTGCTCATTACTCACTTAATTCTGTAGAGGAGTAAGTACTCTATGTTCATTGAAGAATATGAATTAAAGTTGGGAGAGCATTAGCCACACAAAAGGTATCAGAGTAACTGCTGCTTCAAAATGGGTAATTTTCTCCTTCAACAATTAAGGCTACTGAAGGAAAAAAAATACTAGAAGAGGAGGAAAACTGCAATCTAATTTATAAAATTTGCAGTCATTTATTTAAACCGAGCAAATATATGTATTAATTATTCATTTTATCACCAGGAAAAAAACATTTGGTACTGAATATGAGTTGCTGTTAATCTTTTGCCCAGAAACACATCATTCTGTATGCAAACAAATAAACACAGTCTTGTTATTCCACAAAAGTTTCTAAAATATGTAAAATCTTTTGGTCAAAACCATTAAAAGAAATTCTTCAAGAAATAAAAACAGAGATAAATCAGAATATTAATCACATTCTTTTCATCAGAAGTTACTTATATCTTGGTATTTGTCCCTTAGAATCAACGAGTCAAACGAATATGCATTGTCAATAAATGGAACTTTTTGAATGTATGAACAAAGGGTTTGTGGTACATATTAACTATCTATATTATCTTTAAACCACAGACAATTTACTATCTTTAAAAAATGGGTTTCAAATTCTTGACATAATTTACTTAACTTCACACATCTTCATCTGTGGCCCACAAGTTAATAACTAACCTCATATGAAATGAATCATGTCAAAAAAATAAAGTATATTGATTTTTACTAATTTCTACTAAATTTATTCTAAGATTTCTTTCCATCATTAACAGCTTTATACCATCCAGTTATCACTTGGGTTCTGGAAAGGTATTGGTTACTATTTTTCAAGCCAATGCTGACATTTTGCTGCTGCTTAGCTGTCATTCTCTTCTTGAAAGTAGTGTACAACAAAATAAGGTGTTTGTGTAGATGTGTTCTTTTATTTTTCTTATTTTCTTCTGTCACTAACTTGTTTTTTCTATTCTGTGTTTAATCTGCTGTCTTAATGGATTCAGCTTCAGAAAAGAGAGCGCTCTTGCAGAGCCTATGTCCAGGTACTTTCTGCGTTTTTATAAATGTGTTAAGTTGTTGAATTGTCTCTGTTGGCAATAGCATGTATGGGAATCTGATAGAAAGATGATAATGTATTGAACTTGAAGAATTTCAGGGAGGGCATAGAGGGTGGGAATGGAAAGCTATATGAAAGAGCATGTGCTAAAAAGAAATTTGACAGTGACAGTGCTCTATCATACAAGAGGAGCACAGACTAGCAAAGAGGTGCAACTTTGGTGTGAGAATTTTGACCGTCACTGAAAGGTGAGTTGGATATAATATATAAATCTCCAATTTCTTCAAGGGGGTATGAAAACATTTCATTCGTATATTGATCTGGTTAATATTTGAGTAACAAGTCATCCAGAAATGACACTCAATCAAATAAAACAACAGTTCCAGGACATTTGGAATGTTACACTTCTGTACCAAATTGATCAAGACATTCTATAATGATCTTATTCTTCCATTCATTATAAGCACATGAATCCCAATGTGACTGTTTCAGTTAACATGTTGTAATTTCTTTCTCAGCAGGATTAAAAAAAAAAAGTTTCTAGGTTTATGAGTTCTTATGGAAACGAATCCCAGAAGCAAGCTTCATAGTTATTTTTAGAAGAAGGAAAAGAAGGGCGGGGATGTCAGAAGATGGAGAGAAGAGAGGAGAGAGGCAAGGTCAAATGATAAATGATTTAGTAATGACTTCACTCTGCTTTATTCAAAGTAGATCAATCCGTGGGTTGCCGGAGTCTGTGCCTCATGGTCAGTAGCACACTCCTCCTGAGGAATATTGGGCGAGAGTTAGTTTTATGGAGACAACTTGAAACAGCGATTGCAAAGGAAGTTGGAGACTTCCTTATAAGGCTAGCAGATCCAGTTTTCTAGGGTAAAGTGAGCTGGGTTAGAGGATTGTGATTGGCTCCTTGACAGTCATTTCCCATAAATGCAGGCTTAGATTTGTGATATGGGCCAGGCTACTGAGGCAGCTTCCATTCTGTGGGTTCCAATACACAAATTAACTTTATCAAAAGGAAGAAAAATATGACACTGTGTAGCTGTAAATTTTATTCCTATGTGGATATATCATCATTTTTAAAGGGGAAGGTCAACTACATTTGTAAAGAAGGATGTCCTCAAGACCCAAGTTACTAGTTCTCAGATTGGTAGTCCACAAATTAAACTGTATCAGGTTATTCACGGAGAAGGCAGTGGCACCCCACTCCGGTACTCTTGCCTGGAAAATCCCATGGATGGAGGAGCCTAGTGGGCTGCAGTCCATGGGGTCGCTAAGACTCAGACACGACTGAGCGACTTCACTCTCACTTTTCACTTTCATACATTGGAGAAGGAAATGGCAACCCACTCCAGTGTTCTTACCTGGAGAATCTCAGGGATGGGGGAGCCTGGTGGGCTGCCGTCTATGGGGTCGCACAGAGTCAGACACAACTGAAGCGACTTAGCAGCAGCAGCAGCAGCAGTTTATTCACAATAAGGGCATTTTGTAAGACAGTCATTTAAAAGGAAAAAAAAAATCTTCATAACAGAGGTTAGGAAGAAAACCTTTTAACTTGCATTTTTTCTTATAAATAATGAATTTTTGTATATAAGAAACTGTTCAGGTTTTTCCAATATTTTGGAAAAGAAATTACTTTGGGAGATTTATGTGTATATACGGCTTAGTGTGTGCAATAGATAGAAAAATTGAAGTACTCTTCAGAATTGAAAGCTGAGGATCATTTTTGAGCAATATTAGGATTGTTTTTGATTGCGATCTATGTTATCCTTTTAATGGGGCCTTGGAAATAATTAGAATTAGCCTTTCAGTATTTAAATCTATGAAATGCATGGTCATTCAAACAAGAATCTCTGATGGAAAATTAATAGCACAGTTTATTCAATGGCTGATTTCCTGTTGTTATAATTGACTGGCTATGAATAAATGTTTCAGCTATTGACTAAACATCTGATAAGACCAAATACAAACAGAATATTGGTGAAGTGGAAATACTCTGCTTGCTAATACATGACATTATTTCTATTCCTTTTAGTATAGATCATTATTCTGTGAAATTCTAGACTGAATACCTACATCTTTAGCCTATTTTGCTTTTAATGACATGTTCCCTATTATTTCTATGTTCAGAGCACATTCTAAGCTACCTATGAAATAGGAATGAAATATACTAGAAAGATTTTTTACACTAAATTTGAAAAAAAAATATTTATTACAAGATACTTAAAAATTTTTTTCCTTTCCATGGGCACAAGCAGTGATTCTTCTAAATATGATTTTGACCATCTAAGTACCTTTAGCATTTAATTATTTAGAAGTACACTGTCGATTTTATGAATTATCTAGATCCATTCATTACTTCTTGCTTCCCACTTTTTATTTCACACACACACACACAGACACACACACAAAATAACAGTGAAATCTGGACTGTCAATAGTCAGCTATGATAACTGATCTATTATCAGTTATCATAAAAAGTGAGCAATTAAAAGTTAGTTGCTTTGATTTTTCAAAATAATATATGAATCTCCTAAACTCATTATGCTTTTGTATCAAGAATTTTAATGAATGAAAATAAAAAAACTGGGTCCAATATATTTTATTTTTCTTTATTCAGTTGAATTTTAGATTATCCTAGAAGTTTTATTCACTATTAAAATATAGGTATTCACATATATCAAATTAAAATATCATTACCATATCCCAGACACAAAGCATATCTTCATTTAGAAGAGGGTTTTAAGTTTTATGTCAGAGAAGACAAGTAAGGCTTGTGTTCCATATGCATATTAAATAGCTACCATATATATTACTACCAAGGAGGGGCCATAGAGGTGAAGATGAGTGAATTGAAATCTGGAGAAATCAAATGACTGGAGCTAGGTCACACAGGTGACACTGATGGCACTGATACTTCTATCCTGGTGTATCCAGTGCTTCTTCAACACCACACTTAAGAATAACAGTGATGTATTAAGAAGAATAAATCATTTATTAGGCATTGTGACCATCACTGTGAAAAGCATTTTGAATAAATTCTTATTTCATATCCTTTTGCAGGAACTATTAAAATTTACTGCCATTCATTTTTTACTGTTTTAAATTAAAGCAGGACATTTTCCTAGTTAAGAATATGTTTTGATTTTTACCAGCAGTTTCCTGTGTCCTCCAAATGCTATAGGTGGCATGGACTCCATGGAGACTCGCAGTCAATCTTGCTTGATGGTAATAGAGTCTGCCTACCAGTGTAGGAAATGTGGGAGATGGGGGTTCAATCCCTGGGTCGTAAAGCTGCCCTGGAGAAGAAAATGGCAGCCTAGTCCAGTATTCTTGCTTGGGAAAATCCCATGGAGAGAGGAGCCTGCCAGGCTACAGTCCACGGGGTTGCAAAGAGCTGGATACAACTGCGTGACTGAGCACACATGCATCGTTATTGATGTGAATCTTTTGAGTCATTCTTTGGAAACCACTATTATTTGCATAGTTAGGCTGAGAATTGATTTAAACATTAGTAAATAGCTGCAAATTTTTTTTAAAAGACACACACCTGGTTTCGTCTCTTCTTCCCATCCTTCCTTCCATTTTTCATTTTTTTAAAAGGCAAATAGTCTATGTTTTAAGTCTTACAAAGTATTTGAAATAAGCCCTCTTTTTATTAGATTTTACTTATTTTATTTGGGCTTTCAATTTATTTATTTATTTATTTTGTTTGTTTCACCTTTATTATCCACTAGAAATCTGTATCCTAGAAATGGTATCCTAGGTACCATCAGTGTAAAAGCAATCTCAGCTTCAACTGTTAAAAAAAAAAAAAAAATCACAGAGTAGTTAACAAAAACATTCAAGAACTACTAGTTGAGCACATGTGCCCAATAATCTTCTCAGTACTGGGAATACAGCAGTGCCCACAACAGGTCAGAATCCCTGCTCACTCTCCTAGGGTGAACTATCTAGTAGCAGAATATAAACAGTAAATATATGGTATGTGAGAAGATAATAAACGTTATGGAGAAAAACAGTGCAAGAAATGCATCACTGAGGTGAGGTGACATTTGAGAAAAACTCTGAAGGAGTGAACTGTGAAGATATGCAGGAAAAAGTATTCTAGCAAAGAAAACAGAAAGTTTCTGAGGTAGAAATATGCCTGTGTTGTCTAGGAAGCCAGTGCAACTGGAAGGGAGTGAAAGAGAAAAGGATGACAGGATGTCAAGGGCCCAGATCTGATAGACCTTTGTAAGGAACTCAACAGACAGGAAACCACTCCAGGTTTCTGAACAGAGGGATGACATGGTCTGATATGTTTTAAAATTAGAAAACAGATGATAGCAGAAAAAGTAAGAGCTGAAACAGGGTTACCATTTGGGCAATAACAACTACTTAAAACAGGATATGAGTATGGGATGCTCAAATAATTTTTATGATTCAAGATTTTTTTTCCTTAAGTGGAACAAATAGGATTTACTAAGGGATTATAAGGTGAAGTGTCTGGAAAAAAGAGGCGTTGGAGTGACCCACAGTGTTTTGCCTGAGTAACTGGAAGAATGAAGTTGCCCTTTACCGAAATGGTCTATCTGTGACCAATTTGGGAAGAACATGAAAAGAACTTCACTAAGAAGCATGTTAAGTTTCTTATCAGATATGCAATATTGATGGTAAAAATTCAGTTAGGTATATGAGCTTAAAATTTAGCTGAATGGTCAGGCTAGAAGGAGTGTTTCAAAAACCAGTCAATCCTAAAGGAAATCAATCCTGAATATTCATTAGAAGGCTTGATGCTGAAACTTAAGCTCCAGTACTTCAGCCACCTGAGGCGAAGAGCCAACTCATTAGAAAAGACCCTGATTCTGGGAAAGATTGAAGCCAGGAGGAGAAGGGCATGACAGAGGATGGGATGGTTTGATGGCCTCTCTGATTCAATGGACATGAGTTTAAGCAAGCTCCAGGTGAAGGACAGGGAAGCCTAGCACGCTGCAGTCCCTGGGGACG